GAGAGGTACATACCACACAACTTCAGAAGGGTGAACACTGTAGCAGCAACAAAGAAAACCATGGAGATCGCCACCCAGAAATGCTAGCAAGCATAAGATCATTATTCAGTTAAAGCCATCTTTTTGCATTCTCCACAGTATTAAGAAAACAAGAAGAAAGTTTAACAGCTATAACCAAACTATTTTCTGATAAATATCCTTTTTTCATTTTAAGATAAGTAATACGAAGTTACTTTTTTTTGTATATAACGTGAAGTTATAAGCAATACCAAGTTACTTGTGTCAACACCATAAAGCTTTGATGACACATCATTAAATCATTCAACCACAGCCAGATTTATTACGAAATGCGATCATCAATAATGGTCCGCCATCTAGGAAGATATGATTTCATTTAACTAGTCATCGAGCAAGCTCTTTGAACAAGTCATTAGATTGAATTGGAGATAGAAAGACACTCAGTCAGTCTCAAAAAGATAGTTCTATCATCTTTTTTGTTAAACCCGAAATGGAGACAGCTTTTTTTAAACTGCAAATAGCAGTTTATATGGTACAAAAAGACGGAGCCTATTATACTCTTTAAAAAATATTTTTTGAGAATACTACTTTTTTATTATATACTTAAAGCACACAGGGTCAAAGAAAAGCCCTATATGTTCCCTGACAAATGCTAAAACAACGCACACGTCATATCTTCTCCATGTAATCATTGGGATAGGTGGAGGAGTTCGAACTATGAAAAGGTAATATCTTCTTCATGTAATAATTGGGATAGAGGAGTCCAGAATACGAAAAAGGTAGACTAGTTGACTAAAAGAAATCATTTAAACTTTGAAATAACATAGAGCAGTATAACTTTATGGTATCCCGGATTACTGGAGGGAAAATATTGCCTCAAAGAAAGAATTTGAATCTTCTGCAACGAACATAAGATGATAGTTCATTCACATTTTGTGGAGGGATTAACAAACTAAAGTAGACAAGTCTTCTAGTCACTTAGAAGTATGGGAAAATATTGTCAGCAATCTTATTTAACTGCTATATGCTAGATGATCATTGGATCATAGTAATAGATCAATATGGTTAGGTATGCTGGTCCTCATTAAATTTAAGATCCCAATATCTATTAGCTTCTTCATTTCTGATCCTTGCAATTTAAGTGATGAAAACTGCATGTTCAAAGTTATGGGCAAAGGCTAACATTTTTAGATGTCTACAAGTTGGGAAAATAACAATGCATTTAGTGGTCAGTTATGCATTTTGTTAGCCTTCTCTAAGATAATGTTTTTGCAAAGAACAGTTTTTATCTCACATGATTTCAATGATACACAAATGTTACTCCTCTCGGTTGTATATTGATACTACTGGGGATAAAAACATAGTTCAGATTACTATGCCTAGGAGTACAGATAGTGTCAGATGATCTCAACTGTATGGTCGACCATGATAATATATCTTACACTTGCAACAACAACAACAAACCCAGTTTGATCCCATAAATGGGGTCCGGGATATCTTACACTTGAACAAATTAAATTGCAATATGAATTCACAAAATCAAGAAATTGAAAATCAGAAAAATAAGAATTCAGCTGCATACTATAACTGTATCTCCAAGGATAAATAAATGAACTTACAGGAAGTGTTTCCCATATTGCCTCGTCATTCATGCTTTCATCATCTCCAGGTAATAACGCCTTACACATTCTGCTCCAAAAGGTAAAAGGTATTTATCCACCAGTCAGACATGGCACATAAGTGAAAGGGTGAAGGTAGCATCCAAATACCATGATTTTTGATAAGCAAGTGTACTACTATTTCCATTCCATTATTGGTTATCATGCTTTTCATTATTTTACACACAATAGGTCATGCACAAAGAATTTAACAGCTCATATTGCAGAAAAGGACTAGAAGGCAAGAAATAGTAAAAGTGACCAATATGTTGAACAAATGACAGATTTCTACTTGGAGGCCCAAGCAATGTTAACACTAACCCTATGAAGAGGCAAATAATTTATTTTTGAAGCCTTTAATGGCATGAATTGCTAATATTCGTTAGAAATGAATAATTTTCTGTTGCAAATGCCATCTTTATTGCACTAAAATGTACCAATGAAAAGCTACACAACAAAGGCTAGGCTCTAAGAGGAAGGGCATTATGGAGATTCTTTTAAGAATCATGGCGGTACAAGAACCACTAGATTGTCTTTTCATTGTAAAGCAACCAAAGAAATAAGTGGAAATCACCAAAAATATGTCAGTACATTACCTGAAGTTGTCAATGAGAATAATTAATTCAAATGCTAACAAGGGAAGAAAGACAATTTTCAAATTCACCGCTGCAGAATGGATGACTGCACAAAAACACAAGAGAAAAAGTAAGGACAATTCTCGCTAACAAATTAATAGGATATATAGGCACACCTTGAGATAGTACAAGAAAACTGAGAAGTAAAAAATCTGTAGGAATCATACTACAAAAGATTGTGGAGTTCGTATTTCTTACCATATATGCTCTCGAGATGTATACAAAGAAGTAGTTCGAATGCTATAAGCAAAGGTATCGCAACAACAGCATGACATGGTGCCCACTATCCACAAGGAGGCAACGGCGACAGAAAAAAGAACACAAAAGCAGAAGATAAATTTGATAAGCACTTTTGCTTGGACAGATTTCCTTTTTCTGATCAAAATTTAAAGAAGATTACTGCATAAAGTCATACATTGCGATCATGGGGAACTGATGGAGCGGGTAGGGAGAATCTTCCTCGGGCAACAACAACATGAAACAGCCATAGAGGGAAGAATACAATCCTGCATATCCAAGTCAAAGTCATAATGAAACATTTCTAAATCTAAACCTGGTAAAGGACTTCTTGTTACTGTTAAAGGAAATTTAAGGGGCACTATACTAGCAGCTCCTTTGTCTATAAAAGGAATCATTCCATCTCTCATAATAAAATTCATTCCAGTGTTATACAAGTGCCCCATTAATCCCTGTTTCCTACTCCCTAGATTGCATAACACAAATTTCAAGAGAAGATGAATGGTGGGGTTACCGCACTCGAGGTGTGGCCTAGTGGTCAGAGAATTATGAGATTTCATGTTAAATAACACTAGGTGAATTCTGTTGGGAATAAGCCCCGTAAAAATAATATTTACGGTATTAGTGATAAATGCGGACCACTAAGTTATGGTTAAATCAGCAAGAATAAAAATGCAGCAAAAATGACACCAAGATTTTACGTGGAAAGTGGAAACCCTTCTGAATAAGGGAGAAAACCACGGCCAAGAAGAGCGACTGATATCACTATAACAAGGAATTTTACATTGTGTAGTAACAAGTACAAATACTCCTAAGACCACTACACCCTCAAAAGAAAAAACACTCTTTTGCTTTTTCCACCTCACTATAATATCTCTCACACTCTATTTTTCTTCACAAACTATTTTCTTATAGTCTATGGAATACCTTGCTCTCTCTCACTCAGATGTATTGTCTGAGGTTTTTGGTGTGTAAAAATGAAAGCCGAAGCTCTCCTTTTTTAGGTAGAGCCTCGCCTACTACACTTGACATTTTTCTTCTGCAGCCTACCCTTTTTGACAATGCAGAAGAAAAAGTTGCTGCCAACTTTGAAAAAAAACCAACAAAGGAAGAAAAGTCTTCCTTAATTTATGGGATGGACCCCACAGATCTCTCCCTCCAGTCTCATTCACCTGAAGGAGGTAACACCGGAGATTCTAGATTGAGCGCATGCCAACAAGTTCTTTGCAAAGCTCGAACTTGTCTCTTGGTACTACCTTAGTCAACACATCTGCAGGATTTTCACTCGTGTGAATCTTTTTGACTTGAAGTGATTCGTTCTCCACTTACTCAAGAATCCAATGATATCTTACGTCGATGTGTTTTGTTCTCGCATGGTACATGGAGTTTTTGCTCAGGTCTATTGCACTCTTATTGTCGCAATTGACAACATACTCCATCTGTCGCAATCCAAGTTCTTGAAGAAATCTCTTGAGCCATATCATCTCTTTGCCAACTTCAGTAGCCGCAATATACTCTGCTTCAGTTGTAGAAAGTGCGACACAGTTCTGCAACTTCGACTGCCATGATATAGCTCCCCCTGAAAAAGTAAACAAATATCCAGTAGTGGATTTTCTGTTATCAAGGTCACCTGCCATATCAGAATCTGTATAGCCCTTCAGAATTGGATTTGATCCTCCAAAACATAAGTATTCATGTGAGCTTCCTCTAGATACCTGAGTATCCACTTTACAGCTTCTCAATGCTCTTTTCCTGGATTTTCGAGAAATCTGCTAACAACACCGACTGCATGAGCAACATCTGGTCGAGTGCATATCATTGCATACATCAAACTTCCGACAGCAGAGGAGTAAGAAATCTTGGTCATTCTCTCTTTTTCCTCCGTTGTTATAGGACACATCTTCTTACTCAACTTGAGATGACCAGGAAGAGGTGTGCGAACCAACTTAGCACTTTTCATATTGAAGCGCTCCAGTACACGTTCTATGTACTTCTCCTGTGACAAGTAAAACTTTCTTTCGTTTCTCGAACGAGTAATTCTCATTCCCAAAATCTGCTTAGCATGACCCAAGTCTTTCATTGCAAAAAACTTATTCAACTGTTTTTTCAACTTGTCAATCTTGGAAGCATTCTTGCCCACAATCAACATATCATCCACATATAGCAAGAGGATGATAAAATCATCATAAGAAAATCTTTGTACAAACACACAATGATCTGAAGAAGTCTTTTTGTAGCCTTGCTCCCCCATAACATACTCAAACTTCTTGTAGCACTGTCAGAGAGCTTGCTTCAATCCATATAGACTCTTCTTAAGTTTGCATACAAGATTTTCTTTACCTTTTGCATTAAAGCCCTCAGGTTGTTCCATATAAATCTCCTCTTCTAAGTCACCGTGAAGAAAAGCAGTCTTCACATCCATCTGCTCAATCTCCAAATCAAGACTGGCAGTCAAACCAAGAACTGCCCGAATGGAGTACATTTTCACGACATGAGAAAATATTTCGTCAAAGTCAATACCTTTCCTTTGACCAAATCCCTTGACAACCAATCTAGCTTTGTATCTGGGCTTCAAACTATGTTCTTCAACTTTAACTTTGAACACCCACTTGTTCTTCAAAGCTCTCATGCCCTTAGGCAATTTCACCAACTCAAAAGTATGGTTCTCATGCAGAGATTTCATCTCATCTTGCATGGCTTCAATCCATTGATCCTTGTGCTTATCTTCTATGGCCTCCGCATAACATTCAGGTTCTCCCCATCAGTGAGTAATACATACTCATTGGGTGAATAACAGGAGGAAGGAGTACGAGGTCTAGAAGACTTCCTGAGTGGAATATCTAACTCGTCCACAACTTCGTGAGTAGGAGCATTTACCTCATTAGCATTAGCATTGTTATCACCATCACCATCAATATATTGATCTGGAATATGGTTCTTGGCATCACCATCATCATTGAGCCCACCAACGTCATCCGCATTTGTATGAGGAATTTGATCAAGATTAACTAAACCTTCAGAACTTGGAGATTTTAGCTTCTCCGCTTTGTTAATATCTTTAATGGTTTGATCCTCCACGAAGATAACATCACGGCTTCTCACGACCTTCTTCTCAATTGGATCATATAGCCTATAACCAAACTCATCAAGGCCATAATCAATGAAGATGCACTGCCTTGTCTTGGCAGTTAATTTTGGCCTCTCATCTTTAGGTACATGTACAAAAGCTTTGCAACCAAACACTTTCAAGTGGTCATAGGAAACATCCTTGCCATACCAAACTCTGTTTGGAACATCACTTTGCAAAGCAATAGCATGAGATAGATTAATAACATGTGCGGCGATCAACAAAGCCTCACCCTAAAAGGAATTCGGCAACTTTGCTTCAGAAAGCAAACATCTGACTCCTTCCATCAAGGTCTTGTTCATCCTTTCTGCTAAACCATTAAGCTGAGGAGTCTTAGGAGGAGTCTTCTGGAGTCTAATACCTTGTTGCTTGCAGTATTCGTCAAACGGTCCACAATATTCACCACCGTTATCAGTACAAATACACTTCAGCTTTTTTCCAGTTTCTCTTTCAACTGAAGCCTGAAACTACTTAAAGACACCCAACACTTGGTCTTTAGTCTTCAAGATGTAGACCCAAAGTTCCTTGAGCAGTCATCAATAAAGGTAGCAAAATAAAGTGCACCACCCAAAGTCCTTGTCTTCATTGGACCGCATAGATCTGAATGCACCAACTCAAGCAACTCTGTCTTTCTTGAAGTAGGATGAGACTGGAAAGAAACTCTTTTTGTTTTCCAACCAAGTAGTGCTCACATTTTTCTAAATTTGTACTTTCAAAATTTGACAACAATTTCTTCTTGGCCAGAACATTTAGTCCTTTCTCGCTAATGTGGCTAAGCCTCTTATGCCATAACGTTAGAAGAGTTATTGCTCTCAACGACATTCACCATATCAACACAGGTAGAGGCCGTAGTCCAATATAGACCATGACGTTTTTCCCCACGAGCCACAATCATGGAACCCTTAGTGAGCTTCCACTTTCCAGCACCATTGGTACTGACATATCCCTCATCATCCAAAACACCAACAGAGATCAAGTGCAAACGAACATCAGGTGCATGTTTTACATTGTTTAAAACTAGTTTAGTTCCAATACTAGTTTCCAAACTAATCGTTCCAACACCAGCCACCCTAGATACATCCTCATTACCCATACTCAAAGTTCCAAAGTCACCCTGATGGTGTGATCTCTATGGACCTTGTCAAGAGCAGCCTTTTAAATAAAGAGATGAGAAGAAAATCTCAGGGTTCCTCCTCATCAGATGTCTTGGTGATTGACTCTAGGGGGAGAAGCAAGAATCGGTGTTCTCAAAATAGAGAATATAATAGAAGCAAATCCAGAAGCAGACTTAAAGATATTGAATGCTATCATTGCGGGAAAAAAGGGCACACAAAGAAGTTCTGTCGGATTTTGAAAAAGGAGAATAGAAACAAGGAAGAACAGAAAAAAGATGGCATTCGTGTGGCCACCGTCACTACAGAAGATCTTGTTACTGTCCTTGATGCGGATCTGATTAATATTGCTTATTATAAGTCAAGATAGGTCGTGGACAGTGGTGCCGCATCTTATGTGACATCAAGGAAGGAATTTTTCTCATCCTATACCCAGAATTTGATAATGAAGTTCTAAGAACTTCCCAAGAATCTGGTAGGGAACCAAGTAGAAACAAGCCTTGAATTTCTTCATCAACTTTAATGCCCATAGCAGATAACTGGTTCATGATCCCTTGAAAATTATTCAGATGATCTGTCATCGCGGAACCATCATGTTATTTTAAACCCAACATCTGATTTATTAGAAACATCTTGTTGTTTCCAGTTTTCCGAGCATACAGACTTTCAAGGTGCTCCCATAGGGTCCGAGCATGTGTCTCCCCGGAAATATGGTTCAAAACATTATCGTCAACCCACTGTCTAATAAAGCCGCAAACCTGCCAAATGGCATAATTTGTGTCACTCAAAGTAACCAGGCAAATCTTCCATTTGATTTATTATCAGGCTTTATAGTAGCGAAGACAGGTTGATGAAAATTTTTGACATAGAGCAAATCTTCCATTTTGCCCTTCCAAATGGCATAATTTGTGTCACTCAAAGTAACCATTCTAATAGTGTTGGCTTCCATCGTTTATCACAAATACAAATACTATTTATTAAGAGACCAAAGTAATTCTTTTCTGATGTGGAAGTTCAGACTGTGCTGCAACCACAGAGCATACTCAGACAGAACCTTGGCTCTGATATCACTTGTTGGGAAGAAACCCCGTAAAAATAATATTTACCGTATTAGTGATAAACGTGGGTCGCTAAGTTGTGGTTAAATCAGCAAGAATAAAAATGCAACAAAAATGACACCAAAATTTTACGTGGAAACCCTTCTAAATAAGAGAAAAAACCACGGCCAAGAAGAGCGACTGATATCATTATAGCAAAGAATTTTACAATTTGTAGTAACGAGTACAAATACTCCTAAGACCACTACACCCTCAAAAGAAAAAACACTCTTTTGCTTTTTCCACCTTACTATAATATCTCTCACACTCTATTTTTCTTTACAGACTATTTTCTTATAATCTATGAAATACATTGATCTCTCTCGCTCAGATTTATTGTCTGAGGTTTTTTGTGTGTAGAAATGAGAGCCGAAGCTCTCCTTTTATAGGCCGAGCCTCGCCTACTACACTTGACATTTTTCTTCTGCAGCCTGCCCTTTTTGACAATGCAGAAGAAAAAGTTGCTGCCAACTTTGAAAAAAAACCAACAAAGGAAGAAAAGTCTTCCTTAATTTATAGGATGGACCCCACAAATTCTTCCCATTTGCCTAAGCCTTGGTGGCAGCGTTGCCCGATAACTGTGCTAGTAAGAGGCAGCACATAGGTTTGTGCAAGCCCCGGCACCGGTACTACCATATTTAAAGAGAAAAAAATAACAGATATGCAAAGAGAAGGTTGTTCCCTCGACCACTCATATACACCCAATTAAGCTTATTTTTATATATAATAATTGTATTTCCTAGTTTTTTCTCCATAGACAAACCCAGGAACAAATAAGTTTTCATAGGAAGTTAAAGAAACACACAGTTTAAACAAGCCATATAAGCATCCACGAAAATACAGGCATGAGAATCAATTACTATAATGAATTCATCTAGAATTCGTATATTAAATTAAAATTGGGAAAAGAAAAAAAACTGACCACCAGGAGTAATCGACGACGTGATCGAGCTTGAGAACCAGCAAAACAGTGAAACACAAAAGCAAGGTGTGAGCTGACAGTGCCTGAAAAGATTTCCCAACTCTTCTCCAGCTCATTGTTTTCCGTTCACACACAGTACTACTAGTCGCAGATATATTTATTTAGCAATCAATATATACGAAATAAATAGTACTCCACAATTGTGCAATTTTGTGAAGAAATAATATTTCGAGTGTATTCCAAGAAAAGATCTTTAGGGTTTAGACGAATTGAAAGGGGGTTGGGGTTGGGGGTGGCAGAGGAAAGTAGCAGTTGCGGGGAAGGAAAGCGAAAGGGGAAGTTTCATATCAACTCAACACAACAAACGGACGCCATTAAAATAACGTTGATATTGTCGAATAATGATGTTTCATTATATTTAGAAGTCCATACAAGACAAAATCTTATCCTACTAACTATTTGAGTCAAATCAATCAATAAATTTTTTCCCTTTATTAATCATTCAATCAATTTTGTTTTGATGTTATGACTAAATATTTACCCGTACTTACTATTTGCATGGATTCAGATAATCTCAATTTTAATAATTAAAGTTAACGTGAGAACAATTACGATTAAGTAATAAATATGTATACAAAAAAGTGACTTTGGGTATAATTTGAGAGTTTGATTCGGCATAGTTAAATTAAAGTCAATGTTCAGCTATAATCTACGTCATGTTAGTTTTTTAAAATTAAATTTTTATTTTAAAATCTCAAAATTCTCAAGTGTCTATGCTTACAAGGGAAGTATTTGTTATAAAAATATCTGAATCAGATTATCTTATATAGACTTGGGCACACATTGATTACTATATTGAGGTATATGTTTATCCACTTCCGTTTTTCATAGTGCTGGTATTTACTAGTTATTGTTTTTGTTTTTTTTTATCTATTTTATGTTTTTTATGATGTTATTATTTCTATAATTTTTGTTGATGGCACTGATATATTATTTCTTTTTCTTTTTTTGAGTCGAGGATCTTTCCGAATCAGCAAAAGTAAGATATACGTACACATTATCCTCCACGAGCCCCACTAATAAAATTTTACTTGATCGTTATTGTAGATATCCACTTGTGAAATAAAAGGGTCATATCTCCTTTGCTTTTCATTCTCACACACAATATCACTCTAGCTGACATTATTAATTCTCACGTAATAGTATCGCTGTAGGCATGTAGTACTTATTAAAGAATGTTTAAATTTTCGTTTTGAGAGCAGAAACTAAACAAAAGAGCAAGTCTTAAAAAAAACCTTTAATTTAATTTTCAAATTCCCAGTGTTATTCTTGAGATTTTAAAATATTCAAATACATTGGTTAGGGTTGCATTTTAAAAATATCTACATAAATTATTATTTCTTTCATGTTGATTAAATATCTTTAATTGGAGGACCAGTGGCTGAGAATGGGACAAGTAAAAGATGTCTACATCCTATTCCAATTTCCAAGTGTGAAAATAAAACACATCCACCTCAAAATATTCTTTCTGATCCGTCAAGAATTTAAAATCAAGGACTTTTCTTTATGGGAATCTGGATGTTGTTGTTTGAATGCCTGTATTTGTAAATAATGATTCTGAAAATTAGAACGTTAGCTTATAAACATAAATATAAATAAAACAGAAATTAATTCGAGCCCACTGAATTCATAGTGTTTCCTTAAGAAATTTAATCCCCTCCTAGTACCCAAGGTTATGGATTATTTCCTCCTAGGATAGAACGAATTACACACTGGTGTAGCGGTACTTCAAACCCCAGTGTTTCAGCGAATACAAAGTTCGGCAGCAAATCACACTTACGGATGCTTTGTTTGTTGTTTAAAACAATGCAGAACAAGGGAGGAAAACTCAGAAGTCGAATGGAAATTTTGAGAGGAAGGAATGCAAATTATAGCCAACGTTGAGTTTTCGGTGAAGAGAAGATCAATAGCTCTCAATTCTGTTTTTGGTGTGTAATTCTCCAACTGTTGTTGTTCATATTTATAGCAGTCAGTTGTGAGACCCGCCCCCTCTCCATGGTGGAGCATGCACTAGCTTGTTATGGAGCAAGCACTAGCTTGTTATGGAGCAAGCACTTAGCCATGGTAANCCCAAAACCGGATAACCCATTAACCAAACCCCTACCGGGTCAACCCGACCTGGTCTGCCCCATAACCAAACGAGTTACCCCCTTCCCATTTTTCATTCTTCCACCCCAAAACCCTAAAAAACACCCGCCCCATCCTCTTCTTCTCCTTCTCCAAACAACCCCCTTCCCCATCAACCCTCCCATGGCTGCCCTCGCTGTTTCTGCTCCCCCTCATGTCCCATGGCTGCCCCCCTCACCACCATTGTCCCAAACGAACCACCTTACCCAAGCGACCACGTCGCTTCAAACAACCCCACTGCCATCTCCAGCAACCACGGCTGCTATGTCTTCTTCTTCGTCAGTCCGGCAACCACCCTCCAAACGACCCCTCCAGCGTCACCCATAACCCCGCCCAGCAGCAACCAGTCCATCATTCCAGCAACGAACCAGCGTCCATCGTCCCCAGCCCCGTCTTCGTCACGTCCAAACGACCATCGTCCCCAAACCAGTAGCAACTTCCACGACCAGCCACTAATAGCCAACTGTTGTTTCCCCGTCGTCTCTGAGCTTTACCATCATCGTCGCTTCTTCTGCCGCTTACCATTCACAATAGTGTAGCCATGAAACCACTCTTGAGGTTCCCGTTCGGCGTTGTTCGTCGAGTTTTCGTTCGAACCCGGACTTCAAACTAGTAGGTTTCTGTTCTCTTTTCTTTTAGTTTTCGTTCAGTAATTCATCTTCTGCTCCTTTTCTTCTTTCTATGATTATGTTCGTGTTTCGATAGGTTGGTTTGAATTCGAACCCAGGTCTTTGTTTGTGTTAGATTTAATTCGTGTTCATTTTTGTTTGAAGTTCGTTAGTTTTTCATCAAGTGATTTACTGTGAGTGTTTATGTGTTGGTCTTTAGTTTTTGATTTGTTATGAATCATTCATCGTGGTTATGATTTTGTTTGATTTAGTTTGAGGTTAACTGATGATCGAGTTTAGTGATTTGGATTTACTTGTTTGTTCTGATGAGTTTGTTCGAATATGAATCTGACTTTGTTGTTAATTCATGAACGTTGTCGATTAGGAGTTTGTTTTGCGAGTTTATAATGCAGAGTTTGATTATTAGTTGTCAATTGTCAGGCTTGATTTGGTTATAGCTGCTGTAATTTGATTAATTGATTAGGTGAATTGGTTATAGCTGATTTGGTTTTGGTACAGATTGAAAGGGATGTGGTAGAATGGTAAATTGCAGTATTTTCAGGGGCATTTTCGAGATTTTAAGTTTTTTAAAAAATCATTAATGAGTGCTATGTCCACTAAGTATAAAATAATATTAAATTAATACATTATTTAATATAGTAGGGGACAAAATATGCGGTAGTGGGGAGTAAGGGAATTAAATAAAGAAAAGATACGTGTTAGTGAGAACTAATATATTTGTTTAATATAGTGGGGGACAAAACATTAAGTAGTGAGATTCAAAAGGGGGATGGGGAGAAGATGGTGGGATTTAATTTAAGTGCTTCAAGTTTGGCTATAAAAAAGAAGAGCTTGACACAAGTTAAAGAGGGGAATTTTCCGAAACATTAAGAGAGATTTGAGGATTTTTCGGAACAGAAAAAAACATTCTGGAAATCTAAAGAGAGAGTGGTATATACCCGATATACACTCTGCATACACTGGATATACAGAGGGAGAATTCATTTTGAAAAAAAAAATTCGAAAAGGAAAAAAAGGGGGACGGGTTTGGACATCAAAAATTCAAAGTTTAAGAGTGAAATACAAGCTGAGTTTTTACCCAAAAGAGTTCAATAGGTTGAGAGCTAAATACTGAAAAGTGAGGTCTTCTTTAATACTGAAAATCTGAATCAGTTTGTTACCGTTTAATTGCGGTTTTTTTTAAGTGGTTTCTTGAGTTGTTATTCCTGGTCTGCATTGGTTTGCGTTGATATTGTTTCATTGAGTGTGCTGGAATCGTGTTGGTTTTCAAATCTGTCACTGGGTGTCCCGTTTGCTGGTTGTTGCTGGTTATTGTTTCTGTTGTTGTATGCTACTGCATTTCTGCTGATCTTCTTCTTATTTTGCTTCCAATATCAGGTACACAACTGATACGCTGGTTACTATAAGCTGAAACAAGAAGCGTGAATACAAATAAAGAGTTGAAGTTTAATTTGATTTAGTTTTGTTACTAATTGTACTTAGGACATTCTATACACTACTGTTTTGTAAAAAAAATTCTGTCATTTCTGTATAACTGGACAGTGTTATAGTAATGTAGTCAATAATGTCCCGTTGTTTTAGTTTGGTTATTAGGTAGTACAAGTTCAAATGCATGTTAAATAAAACCAGGCCAGTAGACTGTTTTGATATCATGGCAATCTAGCTCCAACAATCAATTTTTTGAATTTAGGATTAAAACTAGACCTTTAAGTTACTTCATTCCAATTAATTGCTCTTTCTAAAACTTGCATGTAACTTGCTTAGTTAGATACTATCATCTTATATCTCTGTAAGTGCAAAAATTGTGAACATGTGTAGAAATAATTAACTAGGCCCAATATTGGAATAAGACGGCCCGATTCACGTTTAATACTACATGCGGTGAATCTGGGCCCACGTTGGTCAAGGCTGTCCATATTGTGTTTACATTCTGATTTAACAAATTGCGTTCGGAACCCGACTATAACAACTCGTAAGCATGTAAATAAATTAGGACCTTTTCTCTTTCATTTTTAGAGACAAATTTAATAGAAAAAATGTAGGCACTTTAGGATTGCCCTTTAAAAATAAATGAGACGAGCCTCGCCAAATAAAACGCAAGTTGCGGGGCCCTCAACAAATGGTTAATAATTAATTAGACTTCGGATGGGCCGTTTAGCAAATTTCACGGCCTTACCCAAAATAATGATACACTAGTCGTTTTAGGCGCACCTTTAACAATTTACTTTCTTAAACTCGGGTGCACATTTATGTGACCCAAATCCAAATCTCAACAGAGTCGAAATGTGTCGATAACCATGGGTACATTGATGTGACGTAGTTCGAGATACGTTTTTTCACAAT